AAACCATAAACTCTGAAGTCTCAACCGTGAAGAGTAAACCCTAAACCCTAAACCCTAAACTCTAATCCATAAACCCTAAACTCTCAACCGTGAAGGGTAAACCCTAAACCCTATACCCTAAATCATATCCTAAACCCTAAAACCCTAAACCCTAAGACCCTAAACCATAAACTCTGAAGTCTCAACCGTGAAGAGTAAACCCTAAACCCTAAACCCTAAACCCTACCTCGTTGAACAATGTATTGAAGGGGGGGTGAGGATTCTGCTGTCTCTGTAGCAGCAGCCAGATAAACAGCTGTCTCCTGCATGCTTGTGAGAGCACCACTAGGAATAAACCCTGTTTCTGCTGCTGCAACAAGAGCAGCAGAATCTGCTGCTGCTATTTTAATCTCCACCCGAGGAAAACCCTCAGCAGCAGCAGATCCACGCAGCGACGACAGTAGCGCCTTCACTGAACCACACAAACCCTCAACCCTAAACCCTAAACCCTAAACCCTAAACCCTAAAACAGCTAAAAACCCTTGTCTGCGTAAAGATACAAACAAAACCAGCATATGCGCTCTTATACGGTTCCAGGGCTTAGACTTAACCGCCTTCTGCACGGGCCCTGAAAGCCTGTAGGTCCTAGGGTTTAGGGTTTAGGGTTTAGGGTTTAGGGTTTGTACTAACGGGTTTCGCTTCTATTTTGTTCTTTTGCATAAAAAGATAACTCAAAAGTTTGCCCTGGCAGGTCCACCTCCTTCGTAAGCAGATACCCCACAACTTCTCCCTCCCTTATCGCTGCACACAAACCCTAAACCCTAAACCCTAAACCCTAAACCCTAAACCCTAAACCCTAAACCGTAGACCCTATAGCCTCTCCCTTCTCATTCGTCGCTGCACACAAACCCTAAACGTAAACCCTAAACACTCTCCCTTCTCATTCGCTGCTGCACACAAATCCTAAACCCTAAACCCTAAACCCTAAAGCCTATCCCTTCTTATTCGTTGCTGCACACAAATCCTAAACCCTAAACCCTAAACCCTAAGGCCTGAGCCCTAAAAGTTCTCCCTCCGTCTTCTGTGCTTTAGCGTGGTGGTTTAGCTTCCGCAGAGGAGGTATGCTTAGGGTTTAGGGTTTACCAAGGAAGGAGAGAGGCTCATTGAAGTAATTCTCCTGCTGCTGCAGCAACTCTGGCTGCTGCTGCTCCAGCAGCAGCAGCAGCGCCGAGTGCTGCTCTTCAGTTGCTGCACTCAACGCTACCGTCTTCGCCAAAGGCTCGCCTGCACACAAACCCTAAACCCTAAACCCTAAACCCTAAACCGCAGCAGCGGACGTCGCGGCTGTCCGCAAACCCTAAACCCTAAACCCTAAACCCTCGCCCGTCAACCCCAGTAGAGCGTGGGTATATGAGAGTGTATATGTTTTATGCGTTGCTAAAGAGATGAAACGTTAACTTTGCCTATTCTTAGGGTTTAGGGTTTAGGGTTTAGGGTTTAGGGTTTAGGGTTTACGGTTGTTGGGGGGTTTTTGAGGATCGGCTCTCCAGTGTATCTTTCCTGCTGCTCCCAGCGGTGTCATCGGAAGGGTTAGACTGTAGCCTGAGGGGATGAATGCAGCAGCAGCAAATGCTGCTGCTGCTGCTGCTTCTTTACTATCGCATGCACCAACGACTTCTGCAGCCCTTGCTGCTCGAGCCTCCCCCAGAAACTCCACCAGCAACGCCGTCCCTGCGCACAAACCCTAAACCCTAAACCCTAAACCCTAAACCCTAAACCCTCATATATATATATATATATATGTCCCTGTCTGTATAAACCCCTTTTTGCATACTTCACAAAACCCTAGCTACAGCAAATATATAGTATATATGGCTGACAGGCCTTAAACCCATATGCTTAGGGTTTAGGGTTTAGGGTTTAGGGTTTACCTGTTTGAGGGTTTCCGTCTGTATACAGACCCCTTATCTCTGCTACGTCTTTGGATATTACTCCAAAAAGACTTCCCTTAGTCTCTACCCACATTCTGCTGCTGCTGCTGCTGCTGCTGCTGCTGCTGCTGCTGCTGCCTGTAGCACCAGCAGCAGTTGCTGCTGTTGCTTCATCTGCTGTTGCAGCTGCGCTGCCTTTTGACGTTGCTGCTGCATCAGAACCTCTTCTTCTTGCTGCGGCAGCAGCAGCATCATCAGCATCAGCAGCAGCAGAAGGCTGAGCAGCAGCAGCAGCAGCAGGTGCTGCTGCTGCTGCTGCTGCCGGCAAAGTTGTCTCCTCATCAAGAGACAGCGCAAGCCACACTTCGTCTGATCCTTCGGGGCCGATATATTTTCTTATTCGTAGAAACTGCTTTGTCTGCTGCAGCAATCCGCTGCTGCTGCTGCTGCTGCTGCTGCTGCGCCTGCGGCTCATGCTGCTGTTGTTGCTGTTGTCTATGCTCACGGTGGCAGTGCTGCCGCTGATTCTGTTGGCTGTGTTGCTGCTGTTGCTGTTGCTGCTGCTGCTGTTGTTCATGCTCCTGACGCTGCTGCTGCTGCTGCTGCTGCTTGTTTGCTGCACACTCTGTGCAGGGAAGCACCACGAACAGCAGCAGCAGCAATAAAATAATATCAGGAGCAGCAGCAGTCTGTATCTTCTACTGCTGCTGCTGCTGCGGCTGCTGCCGCATGCACTGCTGCTGCATTGGGCATACCTCTTCTTCTGGATTCTGCTGCTGCTGCTATTCCCGCAGCTGCTGCTGTCATTGCTGCTGCTGCTGCTGCTGCTGCATTTTATATAGGTGGGAAGAAGAAACATTTTTGCTGCAGTTGAGGCCCAGGAGGCCCCTCTAGAGAAGGGCCATGAAGCGGAAACCCTAAACCCTAAACCCTAAACCCTAAACCCTAAACCCTAAACCCTAAACGGCAAACCTAAACCCTTGCATATTTTCAAATAAACCCTTAACCCTAAACCCTAAAATAAAAGAAGAATGAATGCAAGGCGAGCGAAGAATAAAGAAGGAACGCTGCGCAGCCGCTCGCGCCGGGGACACTGGGGGCTGCTAGAGAGACCCTGCAAACCCTAAACCCTAAACCCTAAACCCTAAACCCTAAACCCTAAACCCTAGCCGCTATATATTGAGCCTTTTATCACTGAATTTATGCTTATTTCTTATTGAAAATATCAATCATTTCCCCTTCATTATGTAGAAGACTCTCAACTCTAAACCCTAAACCCTAAACCCTAAACCATCAATGCTGCGCCGAGCTGGGTCGGGGTTGCTGGCCTCGCTGGGGTTTACACCTCAAACCCTAAACCCTAAACCCTCACAATCTATCAGACCCTCTGTCTTCTGGATTGATTCCCTAGTACGAAGGAGTTGCTGCGCAGCAACTCCTGCGGTGTACACGCAGCTCAGCAGCAAACACAGCAGCAGCAGCAGCAGAAACAGCAGCAGCCGAAGCGCCTGCAGCAGCAGCAGCAGCAGCAGCCTTCGACACCCCAGCAGCACTCCCAGCAGAAATATCGACGACAGCAGCACCAGTAGCAGCAGCAGCAGCAACAACAACCACCGCCACCACCAGCACAACAACAGCAACAGCAGCAGCAGCAGCAGCAGCAGCAGCAGCAGCAGCAGCAGCAAGAGAGGCAATCCTCGCTTGTCTTTGTTTTATGCAGATGTTGCTGCACTTCCCAGCTCCGAAGATGTCCTTCGTTATGTCTGCTGCTTAACTTCTTCTTACTTTCTGAACAAGCATGATTTGCTGCTGCTGCTGCAGCAACTGGCGCTGCTGCAGCACGTGCGCAGCAGCAGCAGAACCTTTGCTGCCTTCTGGGATCGAGCAGCAGCAGCAATTGCTGCTTTCAAAGAAGACAGCTGCCTCCTGCGTCTTTGCTGCCTGCACCTTGCAGATGCTAAGTGCTCCACAGCCCTATTTGATCTCGTAAACCCTAAACCCTAAACCCTAAACCCTAAACCCTAAGCCCTTTGCTTCGCCGTCACACCTAAGAGGATGTTGGGAGTTGCGCATCAACGCACTGCTGCTGCTGCAGCTGCAGCAGCAGCAGCAATACACCGCTGCTGCAGCAGCAGCAGCAGCAGCAATACACCGCTGCTGCAGCAGCAGCAGCAGCAGCAATACACCGCTGCTGCAGCAGCAGCTGCAGCAGCAGGTGCACAGGCAGCAGAGGAAGAAGACAAAGCCTTTTGCTGCAAGAGTAAGAGCAGCAGCTGCTGCTGTTGCAGCAGCGAGCCGCTGCTGTTTCTGCTCTGGCGACAATATCTGCGTTCACGATTGAGGGTTTAGGGTTTAGGGTTTAGGGTTTAGGGTTTGCGGTGTGCAGGTGCCTCTGCTGTACCCTATGCTGAGGGTTTACAGCCCCATGGAGCTGTGCGATATCTTCTGGCGTGTGTCTCTTCTCTCTGTTTCCTTGCCTCGTGCTGCTGCTGCTGCTGCTGCAGCTGCTGCTGCTGAGCTGCACCCAACAGCAGCAGCAGCAGCCCTTGCTGCAGCAGCATCTTCAGCAGGCGTGCCAGCAGCAGCAGCAGCAGCAGGACCAGAGAGAATCTCTGCATTCAAGAAGGAGCTGCTGCTGCAGCTAACACGCAAGCGTCACACGCTGCAGAGACAGCTGGGCTTGCTGCAGCAACAGCAGCAGCAACAGCAGCAGCAGCAGCAGCAGCAGCAAATGCCACCGCAGCAGCAGCTACTTCTGGTGTACAGGATGCTGTATGGTGCAGCAAAACTGAAGATGACTTTCGCCGAGCACCCTGAACTCTTTTCTCTGATTGTTGATAAGGGCAAGGAAGGGTTTAGGGTTTAGGGTTTAGGGTTTAGGGTTTAGGTTTAAGGCTTTAGGGCTTAGGGTTTGGAGTTTAGGGTTTGGGGTTTAGGGTTTGGGGTTTAGGGTTTAGGGTTTAGGGTTTAGGGTGTTGTGGGGTTTGTGTCTGCAGCATGCGAGCTGCTGGAGCCCAGCAAACCCTCTGAGGGTTTAGGGTTTAGGGTTTTCTCGCCTTCACAAGTTGTGCGTATTGTATGGGCGTCTGCTGCTATTCAAACCCCAGCAGCAGCAATCTTTATTAAGGCTAGACAGCGGGTTCTTGTGCGCTAAACCCTAAACCCTAAACCCTAAACCCTAGAGATTCAAACCCCAGCAGCAACAGTCTTTTTCTGAAGGCTAGGCAGCACGTTCTCGTACCTTAAACCCTAAACCCTAAACCCTAAACCCTACTCTGCTACGGCTAGGACTGGCTTGTGTTTAGCGTTTCTGTCGTGGTTTAGTATCTAGGGTTTGAGGCGGAGGGTTTAGGGCCTTCAGAATACCTAAACCCTAAACCCTAAACCCTAAACCCTCATTCTAAGGCGAAAAGCCAGCTACTCTGCACAGGGCGAGGGTTTAGGGTTTAGGGTTTAGGGTTTGTACGCAGGACATCGTTGATTGCTTTTCATTTGAAGAAGTCGAAATTCTGCTGCAAGTATTCGAAGCCGTCGGCATGGAGTAAACCCTAAACCCTAAACCCTAAACCCTAAACCCTAGACGATGGTTTGTCCTGGCGTTGATGCGGGCTGAGGACGTGCACAGTACCAGTGTTTGCTGCTCAAGGGTTTAGGGTTTAGGGTTTAGGGTTTGCGGCGATCTGCTGTGTACAGCGACAGCCAACTGCAAGCAGCACTGCAGCAGGAGCTACAGCGCATTGCTTCTTTAACAAGTAAATCTCCTTTTAGGGTTTAGGGTTTGCCGTTGAATAGAGGAGGGTTTAGGGTTTAGGGTTTGGAGCTGGGGTTGAGGGTTTAGGGTTTAGGGCTTGGGGTCTGCAGGAGGCGCCTCTAGGGTTTCTGCTCCTCGCCGCCGCAACTTCACGAAGAAAGAGAAGAGGGTAAGTTTGCTTCCTGCTGCTGCTGCTGCTGCTGTTGCTGCTGTTGTTGCTGCTGCTGTTGTTGCTGCTGTTGCTGCTGCTGCTGTTGTTGCTGCTGTTGCTGATGGTGCTGATGGTGCTTAAGCTACTGTGGCTGGTGTGGGTGCTGCTGCAGCTGCTGCTTCTGTTGCTTCTGCTGCTGCTTGTGTTGCTTCTGCTGTTGCTCCTGTTGTTGCTGCTGCTGCTTCTGCTGTTGTTGCTGCTGCTGCTTGCTCTTGCTTCCTGTGTGCACCAAAACCCCTAGCAGCAGTAGCAGCAACAGTAGCAGCAAAACAGCAGCAACAGTAACTGCAGCAGGAGCAGCAGCAGCAACAGTAGCAGCGAAACAGCAGCAACAGTAACTGCAGCAGCAGCAGCAGCAGCGGTGTTGTGTGTTGCTGCTGTTCAGGTGTCTATGACAGACCCCCTCGCCTCCTATTCGTTAACAGTTGAACCCTAAACCCTAAACCCTAAACCCTCTGAGCTCTGTAAACCCTAAACCCTTAGACCCTGCGCCTCTTTGTTTAAAAAGACATTGAGGTGTATATACAGCTCAACATTTTCTTTTTTAATTTTTTCTGTTGGAGTGTACAGGCGGCTTTAAACCCCTTATCTTCTTGTTAGCATTAATATAATTATAAATAAATAAATAAATAAATAAATAAGAAATACAAAAGAAAAAGATATAATAAACAAACAAATTTAATTTTCTTCTATGAAAGTTCGCTACAAACAAAAACAAAATAAAAACAAAGAAAAAAGAGGCAGCTAAAAAGGAGACAGCTAAAAAGGAGACAGTTAAAGAAGAGACAGCTGAAGAGACAGCTGAAGAGACAGCTGAAGAGACAGTTAAAGAAGAGACAGTTAAAGAAGAGACAGTTAAAGAAGAGACATTTAAAGAAGAGGCAGTTGAAGAAGAGACAGTTAAAGAAGAGACAGTTAAAGAAGAGACAGTTAAAGAAGAGACAGCTAAATAGATAAATAGACAGTTAAAGAGGAGACAGTTAAATAGACAGCTAAAGAAGAGACAATTAAAGAGACAGTTAAAGAGACAGTTAAAGAGACAATTAAAGAGACAGCTGAGGAGAGCGTTAATAGACAGCGACAGCTAAGGAGACAGCAGAAGAGACAATTAAAAATAAAAAGTTGTAGAGACAGTTAGACAAAAACAAATATAAAAAATCTGAAGGAGTTGGGCGTCTCCGCTGCATGCACTCAGTCGCCCTTCAAATGCATCCCTAAAACGTTGCCTGCTGCTGCTGCAGCTGTTGCTGCTGCTGCTGCTGCTGCTGCTGCTGCTGTTTCTGCTTCAGCTGCTGCTTCTGTAGCTGCTGCTGTTGCTGCAGCTGCTGCTGTTGCAGCTGCTGCTGTTGTTGTTGCTGCTGCTGCTGCTGCTCCAAAGTACAACAAAGTGCATCTGCTTCTGGATTGCAGCAGCAGCAGCAGCCACACTGCTGCATTTGCTGCAGCCCCTCGCCATGGAGCAGCAGCAGCAGCAGCAGCAGCAGCAGCAGCAAGTGATGCTGCTGCAGTTGTATCTGCTGCTGCTTCTGCTTCAGCTGCTGCTTCTGTGATTGCTGCTGTAGCAGTTTTTGGTTTGCTTGTGCAGCTACTGCTGCACGTGCTGCTGCTACTGCTGCTGCTGCTGCTTCAGCTGCTGCTGCTGCTGCTGCTGCTGCTGCTGCTAGCCATCGCTGGAGGAGTCGCTGCTCTCTGATGTCTCCTTCTCACTCGCTTCGACGGCATCAAAGCAGGCGACGTTTTCTCGCATGCGCTGCGTCCGGGTCCCTGTACACCCCAAAACCCTAAACCCTAAACCCTAAACCCTAAACCCTAAACCCTAAACCCTAAACTGTAGACCCACCAACGCTCATGTCTGAGCATTCAGGCGGAAACCCCAAACCCTAAACCCTACAATCTCAAGAGCAAACCCTGAAAACGTTTAATAAAAATAATTAATAAAAATAATAAACAAACAAAACAAAATAAATAAAAATAAAATAAAATAAAATAAAATAAACAAACGAAGACAAACTAAAACAAAATAAATAAAAATAAAATAAAATAAAATAAAATAAAATAAAATAAAATAAAATAAACAAACGGAGACAAACTAAAACAAAATAAATAAAAGTAAAATAAAATAAAATAAAATAAGACAAAGACATCTTACCTTGCGTAGACCAGCGTCCAGCACAGTTGTCATACTTTTCTATGAGAAACTCTTTGAGAGGATAAATTAAAGTGCGAGCGCATGCAGAGACACCTTCAACAGCATATCTAACTTGTTTGCCTAGCACCTTTGAAGCAGCAGCAGCAGCAGCAAAGACAAAAGGAGACAGTTGTTTAAATGCGTGTCTGCGCTATCTAATTAATATCTTCAACAGCATATCTAACTTGTTTGCCTAGCACCTTTGAAGCAGCAGCAGCAGCAGCAA